GCTCATTGTATAACGAACTCATTCGCCTTTCGGCGAAGATAATTACGATTGACAAGGTTTTTGTCGCAAAATGTTTTTATTTTTCTCGAGATGAAAATTGTTAATTGCGAAATGGAAGATATTTATCGAAATATGAAAATGGTTGCTATGCTCTTGGTAAGGAAGAGGTTCTTGCAGGTGTCTTATATACATAACCGGTTTGGGTATATGGTTAATTTGAGCTACGTACATTAAAAAATTCAAACATTCATTTTATGACAGTATTAGAGCCTTAAATTTTCGGTTGTTTAAACAACTTGTTTATAAATCCAATTATAAAAAATATTGAGGATCAAATTACATATCTAATAAATAAAATACAGGGTCTTTTGTGATCACCCTTGAATATATTTATTTATAATTCCATCACCAAAACAGCTTAGGCCAATTACAGGGTGACGGAAAAATGTACAAAAAACAAAAATAAGTTAGAACATAAAAGTAAACATTTATACAAAAAAGCATCAAAATATGTTGTGCATAAGTTACAGACATACGCTTAAAAAAAAACATAATATGTGTGAAAAAGCGTATGTCTGTAAAAATACTTTACAATTTTACAATTTAAAAATTAAAATAAGTAGGTTTTGACACATTGGACTAAAAGTTCTATAAAACAGTTATAAAAATAATAAATAAAAATGTTAATTATTGTATGATATTAATTTTCATTAAGATTAAGAATTGATTTTAATCCTCCAGATCGTGATAAACTTTGACCATTTGATGTATTGGCGAAGAAGATAGAGTGTTATTTCTAGAAATTGTTAATTGAAAACTTACACAAATTCGTAGTCCTAGTCTAGGAACTCTAAGTGATATATATTTCATTAGCTCAATTCAGTCCACTTTATTATGTAAAAGATTATATAGGAACAGCAATTGATGTGATGCCCTGCGATATTTTAGTTCCGTTAAATTAAATCTTGATAGAAAATCGCTGTGGAAAACCTCTAGGAAGATATTAACCTTCCAAAATGTACGAGGCCGACTTTATGAACCGTCTCTGAATGTTTTCAAGGTTGTTAATATAAATATTATACATAGGGTTCCAAACTACACTGGCATATTCCAATCTAGATCTAACAAAACAAAGGTACAAAAGTTTTAAAGTTTCTAAGCATTGAACTCTTTGCCATTTCTTATAATAAAACCAAGCAATTTGCTACCAGTCGATATAATTTTGTCTACATGTTTGGAAAAAATTAATTTTGAGTCAAGTATCACACCAAGATCATTAATACAAGTAGTTCTATTAATTATGGTAGCATCTAAACTGTAGTCGAATACTATTGGGCTTGCTTTTCGGCTAAATATCATAGTACTATACTTAGATGAATTCAAAGGCAAACTATTTGTTGATTCACACCACTCATTAACTTTTTCTAAAGATTTCTGGAGTTCTCTACAATCATCAATTGAACGTATCTCCGCATACATTTTTAGATCATCAACATATCGTATAGGTACTGAGAATTATCTGATATATTATTAATGAAAATGTTAAAGAGAAGTGGTCCTAATATTGAACCTTTGGGTACACCGGACTTTTGTAAAAATAGAGCTGATTTGAAACCTTTATATTGAACAAACTGAAATCTTCCATTTAAATATGACTGAAAGAGAGAAATTAAATTTGGGGATAACCCATAAAAGAAAAGTTTATTGATTAAACACTGGTTGAGCTTATCAAAGGCTTTACTAAAATCAGTTTGTTGATCCAACTTTCCACTGATATACTGAGTAATACAAGTCAGGTTGGATACGGTAGATTCTTTATTCATGAAGCCATGCTGATACGGCGATATAAGGCGAGACATGTGGTATGTAAATGAGCGGTGTAACAAAATTTCAAATATTTTGGAAAAATTATTAATAATAGTAATCGGCCTATAGTTGCTAATATTACCAATTTTTCCTTTTTTAAATAAAGGCATAACACGTGACAGTTTCCAGGAATTTTGGAACGTAGTTGACTATTATCATATTAAAAATAGCACATAAAGGAGGTACTAATGCACACAATATTTAATTATAAAGGCTGGAATTAAATCAGGCCTCATGGTCATAGATTATTTCAATTGTTTTATAACATTTATGACTTTGTCCTACGAGAAATTTAATATATTTAAATTGGGAATATCAATATCTACATTTTTTAGTATAATACAGGGATTAGAGTCGGAGAAAGATTTGGAAAAATAATCAGCAAAACTGTATACTATTTGTTGAGGATCGTCAATAGTATTATCTTCATACATAATTTCAGTTGGTATTGATGATTTACCTTTCTTACCGTTCACGTATGATCAACATTTTTTAGGGTTATTCTTTAGTTCATTTTCAATATTATTTAGGTAAAATTGTAGAGCAGCTTTTATATTGTGTTTTAATTAAGATCTTATAGTTTTAACACGTTGGTGACTATTGAGGCAACCATATTTTTTATAAAATCTATACGCCCTTTTCTTATCCTTAATCATTCGATTTATTTGGCCATTATACCAGGGTGGATATGTACGAGAAGGGGTAATCTTTTTTGGAGTGTGCCTTTTAAGAACTGATGTAATTTTATCTACAAAATAATTTGTAGTTATTTCGGGATCTTTAATTGTAAGCTGACTAATAAAGTTCGAGTCAGTGTAAAGTAGTTCAGAATATAGAGCAGGATAGTTACTCTTTTTAAAATTAAGTTGCGATGTTTTTGACTTAATTGATTACGAGCCCTAACAGCTATATATTGGGACAAAACAAAATACATCAATTATATAAGTAGTTGACAGTTATTTTTTTCTAATAATTGTTCTTTTATTTAATTACTGTTTATTTAATTAATTAGCAACAATTTTGGTCAATCTGCACCATAAAAAAATAAAATACTTATTTTATAATCACTAATTAACATAATTAACAAGAAAAAGGTGCATTTTGTGTGGCAACTAAATAATGGGACATATAACAAATTTTTATTTTTAAAATGGAGTAACATCGCCCTTAGATTTTATGACCGCTCGAATTCGTTTGGGCATTGACTCGATCAAGGATCTGCACTGTTCGGGGGAAAAGGCATTCCAAATCTGCTCTATTTTGGCTTTAAGTTCTGGTAATGTCCGTTGTGGGTTGTTTCTCAATGACTGTTTCATTTTATGCCATACTGTTTCTATAACATTAAGGTCAGGACTGTTGGAAGGCCAAGAGAGGACATTAACATTGTGGTCTCCGAACCACTTTTTGGTAGTTTTAGCCGTATGACAGGCCGCCCCATCCTGTTGAAAGATATAATTTTCAACAATATTTAACTTCTCTACACTTGGCAGAAGACTGTTTTCAAGTATTTGTTGATATTTTGCGGCATTCACGGTACCATCAATAAATTCAAAGCATCCTAATCCTGATGCAGCCATACAACCCCAAATCATTACTCCTTTAGGAAATTTTACAGTTCGTTTTAAGCAATCTTTGTGAAAAGCCTCACTCTTAGTGCGAATTACCCGTTTGCGGTAATCACCAACGCATACATCGAACTTCGATTCATCGCTAAAAATTACCCGAGACCAGTCTTCTACTGACCAAGACAATTTAGATTTTGCCCATGTAAGCCTGGCTTGCTTTTGTTTTGCTGTTAATAGTGGCTTTTCCTTTGCCTATAAGAATATTACATTTTTAAAAACACCTTTTTAAATTGTTACCTGTAAATTTAACCTTATAAAACTTAAGTCCACTTTTATGTATCCACTTGCGACAGCATTCCCTTGACAAATTTAGACCCGTTTCATGATTCCACTCAGCTGTAACTTGTCTTAAAGAATTTCTTCGGCCTTTTTTGCATAATTTTACCAAGACTCTCTTATTCCTGTCCGAAACTACTTTTGGGCGACCTGGACTTTTACGTTTTTTTTTCAAGATATTTCCATTCTCTCCATAATGTTTAATTATATTCCACACTGTAGTTTTAGGTATATTAAATTCAGCCGCTACTACACGTATTGTTTTATTGCGACAATAACTTTTAATCACTAATTCACGAATTTTTGAATTTGTAGAGATACCACGCACCATTTTGTTCAATATATGCGGTGATTCACTTATTACGATAAGAATTTAACTACAAAATAAACTGACATTTCTTTTATGTATTGTTCTCGCCGCCTACTGGTTTAATCTTGTTTGATATTTGACAGTTATTTTATGCTGTCCCATTATTTAGTTGCCACACAAAATGCACCTTTTTCTTGTAAATTTCAGATTATAGAATAAGTATTTTATTTTTTGTGTTGCTGATTGTCCAAAATTGTTGTTAATAAACTAAATAAACAGTAATAAAATAAAAGAACAATTAGAAAACAAAATAACTCTCAACTACTTATATATAATTGATGTATTTTGTTTTGTCCCAATATATAGTTGTTAGGGCTCGTATATGTGCTATAAAAACTGAGATCAATAGCTAAGGATGGGTGATAGTCATCTTCTTTAGTAATAATTTCAATGGCTTTTGAGACAGAACAATTAATATTGAAAAATATTAATTCCAATAGTCTGTTTTCTGAATTTAAGATATTATTGAACTGTACCAGGTCAAAAAAGTTGGAGAGATTAGTAATTACAGATTACATTTATGTGTTTCATTTCTTAAATTAACAAATTCGGGAACAAGTTATGACCGTATAAAGATGTAATAGAGGCTACACACTCGGAAAATATTTCATAGTCTTCAATGCTACATGATGGAGCAAAGTATGCTGTTAGGACAAAACTTTTGTAAAATTAATATGTTTACATCATAGCTATATATCCTTATTTAATATTTTTTTTATCTGGCACGACTATAAAAAACCGCGCCACTGTTGCACCGCCTGTATAAACTTTAAGTCGGCCAATCAATGCTGTTTGTTAGATTTAAAACCAAAAACGCAAAATCTCACTTTAAACCGTTTCATTTATCCGGATTAAAATATATTTCAATCCAAAATTATACGAACCTCTATGGTGAGCCTGCTCGTATAATCTGCATCATTCGTAAAGCGCTGATGTGACGTTTCTAGAATGTTCTCGCCTTTGTACCAGAACACCGTCCCTAAATCGTGTGGGCCCTGGCTGATGAGACAGGTGAGTGTGATGGAGCTGCCGGCCTTGACGTGTAAGTCTGTTGGTCCAAGGATGCGCGCTTTCGCTTCTGTAACATTCAAAATTATTATAATTGTGGTTTGTGTGAGACTCGAAGGGAATTCTCGCATAATATGTCATTTTGGAAATGTGGCGCTCTATGTAGGGATTTAGTTGGGATAAATGACAGAGAAATGGTTTTATATATATACGGGGCGCTAGTAAATGTCATGTTAATACTGAAGAAGGTAATTCCTTGGCTTATTTTATTGGGATCTGAAGATAAGCGATACGCCCTCTACTGTGAACTAAAAGTTATGCCATTTGACACTTGACCGTCTGTGTTCTGTCAAGTTTTGTTTATTGTTTATCAGGTCATTTCAATATTTTAAAATTTAACAAGTATTTTGTTTGAAATATCTTATTTAATAATAAGCTAATGCTTTAAATTTATATCATATATATTAAAATATTATTTTATTTGAACTATAAGTGGAATATCAGTGAAAAACACACTTGTTGGGTGCCTGGATGCAGCCCTTAAAAAAATGGACCTTCTTTTACATTTCATTTGCTTCCTAAAGTTGGTAAATGTAGAGTAATTTTTATAAATTGCAAGTGGAAATTCTGCAAGAAATGCATGGTTACAAAAATTAAAAATTGAGAAGCATTTTAAAGAAGATGATTTGCCTAGAGGTAATATAGATTTATTTTTCGATTGAATGTTTTTATTTTACCTTTTTTTTGTGTTGTAGATGCCTCATCCAAAGTGAAAATAAATATAAAAAAAATCGATGTGTCTGCCTGCCAGTTTTTAAGTAAATGTTTGACGATTCTGTTCAATAAACTTCAAAATCAAATATTGAGAGAACAAAAAGAAGATCCAAACCACAGAATAAAGATTTTGTGTCCAAACTAAAAAAAGTTCAATCAGTGTTAAATGTGATAGTGAGATTAAACAAAGTCATAGTTGAGAGTGATTTGTTTCAAGATAACCTAGCTACTCACGCCAAACAAGGCAGAGGTTGCAAATACTCTTTTTCAAGTATATTGCCATTAGTGTACAAGTGCGCATACCCCAAAAATTAAAACAATTTCAGATCTTTTAAAATCTGACAAAGAGTTGTGTTCATTCACTGGTATTAACAACTTTAACATACTGTACTAGAAAATATAGTCAAATCAGCTGAAGTACTTCAGAAGATGGCCTATTGGGTATTGTAACTCAATAAAGAACGTTTATTATTATGTAAACATTGGCATATTTTGTTAACAGGAAAAATAAAAAATATTAGATTTTTATATTTATTGCTTATAATAATAGCCTTTTTACCCACAGAATCAACTTGATCCATGCAACGAAGACTCATTTTTGAGAGTTTTTAGTTACCTTTATCCAGCACATATATTTGCCAAAAGCTTTGATCTAAATAAGTATTGTATATCTAAACGAAGAGGTTAAGCAACCGGAAATACTACCATCAAATATAGTAAATCATTTTAGGCCATAAAATACTTTGAATACTATATTATCTTAGATTTTCTCAAAACTGGAAATAATGAGTTACTATAGTCTTCGTTGCATGTGTCGAACTATTCCATTACAGAATAATATAAAAAATGTACAAAAATACATTATCAATGTACAATCACTCATTAGAAAATGTAACTGTACACGATGACTAGTAAACTTGAGAATAAAAATAATTATTAAAAAGAGTATTCTCTCAAGTACAAAATCAATCATAAATTTCAAGCTGTACATTTTCATTTATTGTATTAAAGAAGAGATCACATGAATTACTTATGTTATTAATATCATAATTATTCACACAATATCCAAACATTACAAACATCAGTGTGTTAAAAAGGTAAGAATAAGAACACTTGCGAAGTGTCATACAATTGTTTGTAAGATAATAAGTAACATGGATTAAATAATATATTATAAAAGGATTAAGACTAAAAACTAATACAAACTACAAATTAAAATTATGACTAAGTAAATTTTACATCAAAACTAACAAACGAACAAAATAGTACCTACTTGTGTTAATAGATGATTTTAAAAGAATAATTATTCTATATGTTTTAAAACATCTTGTTAAATAAAATTATGGAACATTGAAATAATAATTTGATTATCAAACAGTTTATGCAAACATAAAAGTGAAGCCATACATATTCTGCTTCCGTACCAAGGACACATAGTTTTTGTAATAATCATAAACTGATTTTAGATTTATTTGAAAATATAAAAGAATATCTTGTGTAGTGCCATTATTTATCGATTCTTCACAATAATCATTTGTAATTTATATTTAATCTCAACTAAAAACTATGCTGAAAATTAGTTTGACAGAATTGTTACTCATTTAAAATTTAAAAAAATAATGGTATCCTGGTGGATTTCATATCTGTACAGTGTTCATAGAATGGATAAATATATTCGTTCAATGGCCTACTTTTTCGTTCTTTAATCAGTGCGTAAAATAAATAATATACATGTGGGTGTAGAACAAAATCAAAAGGTATTCGATCGAATTAGCTTGATAGTTCTTTTATTATTTGAAACAGTATACACCTAGAACACTTTATTAAGACTCCTGAAATATGTTTGCACTGTCCACTGTTCCCAGCTTAAAACAAACACTGCCATTCACTAATTTCAAACATCTTGCACTGGCCTACAACAATATGGGGACCTGAATTCAATGCACTAGTTTGGAGAACAACTGCAAAAACGTGTTTATCACTAAATTCATTCTTTCCACATAAAAACTATGTGGCCCGCATTTAAAATAGCATCTTCTTTAATAACAGTCCTGGAATTTTCACCTGCATCAATATACTTCATAAGTTCTATTAAACTTAGCCTTATTTCAGACATCTCACTAAAAATAAAATAAATATATTAATATTTTATTAAAAGATAACACAAATATATCTTAAATTAACATAAATGAATGAATGTAATTTAAAAACAAAATTAATAGGGGGTTACTTACCAAATAAAAATATATATTCTACTTTAACCTAAAAACTATTGAAATAAAAGTATCTAATCACTAAAAATTAACAACAACAATATGTTTTCCCTCGTGTTTTCCTTAAAATAGCAAAATATAAACTAAATACTTTTTATGGGTTGTTTGTTTACAAACTCAAAAATGTAAACAATAACAAGCCATAACAATTAGTTTAAATGTTAAGTACAGACGGCGCTGCGATCTTAATTTTAGATCCCAATACCTAAAATTTTATAATATGTACTCTACATTAATCTTTCTAGTTTTGACATATAAAGTGACATTTTTTTGTAATCGCTGTAAGTGTTAAAACGATATTCTTTACGTAACTAGTTGTATATTGTTGAACATTATGAAACTGGTTTCGAAAACATATCACCAGTTGCAAAAAGAAAAGAAACGGAAACATTTTTTGGTTTTAAAATCAATAATATACATTGTTGATCATATTGACTAATCTTAGCAGGTGTTAAAAATGGAATACCAAATAGTTTTGATTTTCTAATTGTTTTTATATTGTTGTTAATTTTTGTTCTATCACCATGTATATAAAAACAACTGTTAAAGATAATGTCAATAAAAAAAATAGGGAAAAGCTGTCAACATTTGCTAGAAAGTCTGAAGCCAGTTTTAAGGTATTTCCTCTGGTATTTCCAACCCTTAGGGCGACCATATTAGCCGCTGGCCCCCAGGTAGGAGTACGTTCCATTTATTTCAGCAGGTTTATTTAATAGGATAATTTAAATCTATTTTTTATCACCCTGTATATTAAAAAAAAATCGGGGGTTTGTGGATTTCTGAGGAATGTTTTTGGAAGACTCATAATTGTCAGAGGGTTTTGAAATTGGAAGTTAGGAAATACATTGTATAATAAATATATATAGAGCATTCAATATAAAAATCGATGCACGTCAGAGATCACGTCAGTGACAGTCATTGGTACCACACACACTAATAAAAATAATAAAATGTTATTATTTTGCAAATAAATGAATAAATTTAGACGCATGGAGTTAATTTTTATAAAACTGCATATTAAAAATGTATTTTTTATTGTATCACAGTAGTAAATGTACTGTAGGCAGATTATTAACGGAATACTTTTTAGTGAATTTCATAATAAAAGTTGGCATCAAATGTGTTAGCTTTCAATTTTAATACATTGTTGTCAATTGTTATTTGTTTTATATTATTTTGCATCGATCGATTTCTTTTAAACAAATTATTTGTATTTTAGATTAAATTATTAACAAACTGTTCTTTTCAGAACAAATTTATTAGAAATTTATTAGTGGTGTTCGTTTATTGTGAATTTTTTCATTGAAAAATGCCAAAACAATTAAATAGTCGCTGCAAGGAACTAGTGGCTTCTCTAATAAATTATTTTGAGAAAGAACGTGATAATAATGTGCCTCTGTTACCTTTAAAAGCTGTAAGAGAAGTGAGTTGATTAATAATGTATCACCGTCAAATTAATATAATTAGTTTGTTTCCGCGTGTCGCAGAAGCACTTAATCTCAATTTTTATACTGTTAGTTCTATTTCACAAGCTGTAAAAAACAGTGAAGTTCTAAAGTCACCACCAAAAAAGCGCCCTAGGCAAAAGAAAGTTACCAACACAAGAATTGTATTGTAAGTATGTTTGGTGGTCGATTTTTAGGTAATTTTTCACATCCTGTATTGTATCAGCTTCAAGAGTGTCAATTTCAAATAGGTCAACATTTAGTTACAGTATTTTAAGCCTTCGAATATCTCCCTATATTTTAAAATGTTAATAAGGTATTTCGTTTATACAAATAAATTTAAGATTTATAAATTATGTTCCCATAAAGAGAGAAATATTTAAACAAATTTTGGTATCATTTAAAATATCCAGTCGACGACTCTAAATAAACAAAGAAGCTGTCGAATAATAAAAAATCCGCTCTCAATATTTCCCTAATAAATATACGTACAAAGACAAATTTCCATTTTGTGTTATGGGAATTAATAATTTTAATTATTATACACAACGGCAAACTTTATTTTCACATCTCAGAAA